CTCTTTCCAGATCATATTACCCATCTCCTTCATCTCTATTTTTCCACCTATTTCTTAGAAATAATTTTTTTAACTGTCTAAAAATTCCCATTGCTGCTGGCAATGATGAATTCTACCTCACTCATTCTCTCCATACCACTCCCAGTTCTCCAGGCACTATCCCAGTTTCTCTTTCATTTGGTCTTTGCTCCTGTGCTCAGGCAGCCACGTTTGTAGATGCCACCTCTTGACTCAACTGCCACCTTTAGTTACTGCTTCTTTTCTAAACAGCTCTAAAACTCAGGAAATGAGTTAGTATTTGTCCAGTCCATTAATCTGCAAAGTTACACATATATCTTATCTCTCTACTGGATTGTAAACTTTTTGTAACAGGGCCAGTCCACTATATATCTTTATGACATTTCCTGACCTTCCCATCCCTACCCCACTTACTGAAGTACATATGATGGATGTTCAACACACGCTTGTTGAAGGAATGCATAAACAGATACACCTAAATACAAAGGCAATGATACTTAATTGAGAGTAAAGGGGAACCCTAACCAAACATACTGGAACAATTCTTAGAAGAAGTAAACTTATTTTCTAAACACAAGGAAACACTGCTACTAAATCTATGTGTAAATCAGATTTAAGTGTTTTGCCAAAAGTTGAAGAATAAATACCAGTAGAAATAGGGACCTAGTCAGGTCTCTCTTAAAATCTTTCTTCCACAGTAGTATAAATTTTAGAAGGCATCTGCAGTTTTGCTGAGGTTCCATCTGAAATCATGTGCTGGCTACCCGTGGTATGGGACTGAATCTTACTGACCAACTGGACTCTACACTACAACAAGCTTTGCAATTCTCTACTCATTGTGGCATATGTATTAATTTCACAAAAGCAAGGAAGAAAATCAACAAAAGCAATTCAATAAAATATACAGGTGACCCTCGTACAATATGGGGATTTAAACCTCATATAATTTATAGTCCGCCCTCTGTATCATAGTTCCTCCACCATCTGTGGATTCAACCAATCATGGCTGAGTAGTATTGCAGTATTTACTATTGAAAAACATCTGTGTACAAGTGTACCTGTGCAGTTCAAACCTGCGTTGTTCAAGGGTCAACTGTAGTCCTGAAAAGAAAGTCAATTGTGTTCTAGATATAAATGAAGGCAAGATGAAAGGAACTGTGACAGTTACAGAGGATGCATTAGTAAGATCATAATTATGAGGGTTTGCAACAGATTCAGGATTTAAGCTTCAAAAATGCCATAGACCTACTATGTAACACCTGCCTCCCTGCCCTTTAAATATCTCCCTACAGAAGCATCTTCAAAAGAAACCACTCTCAAAGATTAAAAAATTTAGATAAAATATGGAGCATATTTAGGAGAATAACTAGTGATATGTTGTTACCTACTAATTAAAATACTTCGGACCATTTTATAAGAAGAAGGGGGAAAGAGGTGATCTTACCTTCTTGGGAAACAATCTCCTGCGGCAAATCATCAATAAAATCTAAGCGCATTTCTATTGGTTCCTCAGATCCCAAAAGATTATGGTCCACAGTTAAACGGCCCTTCTTTTCCTCTCTTTCTTTCAAAATAACCTAAAAGTCATTACCAGTCTTTAATTACTAATTACTCTTTAAGTATGTACTGAATGATTAAAATGGTCACTATTACACAGGAACAGTAGTGTTCACTTAAAAAATGGATGTTAAGGTTTTTGGTTGGCTACGTAGAAACTGACTGGCAAAAAGGTAAATGTAATTTTAGGCACTGCAGTTGAAGGAAGTACTATATCCAAAATAAAGGAAGGCAACATAATACTACAGCTATCAAACCACATCTGCTTCATTCTTTAAATCCTAGCAGACAAACTAGGGTTTCCCCCAAAATGGATAAAATAAAACCTTTGGAAACCAGGTCACATAGATACGTTAGATTTATTTGGTCACAGATCATCTCATTCACTCCTCCTAATAACAGTACTCAGTTAAACAGAGCAGATATTATACCCAACTTATAGATAAAGAAGATGAGGATAAGAAAGGTTTGCTAAAACTACACAATAAGTACTGAAGTTAGTACTAGAATCCCAGGCTTCTGATACCTAGGGTCTCAAGTTTTTGGATACCTAAATGTTTAACTTTTTCTTTTAAACTTATAGACAGAACTCATTCCCCAGGGCCTTGGTCAACATAGAAAGATAGTCATGATGCTGAGATCCCCAACCTTAAATTAACTAGTCATCATAAAGATGCATGTCTAAGAACTTTTCACAATAATCAGTTGGCCAAAACACCACAACTACTTCTGCAAAACGATTTAAACCCTTTTTTATACTGTAAAATAAATATCCCCAGGTTTTATTTTACCTTTTTAAGTGCTGTGGGCCGTTTTAGTTTTGCAATTTCCTTTTCTTTTCCTTTTTTCGCTTTAGAGGAAGTAATGTCCAAAGAATTAAAGGATGTCAAACAGGGCTGACCTTTGGTTAATGGTTTTCTGTTAGTAGAGTCTTTAGTGTGAAAAGAAGCTGCAGTGACCACTAAAAACAAACAAGAACATTAGTTTTACTATTATGGCCAACTCCACATATTTTCAAAATTTCTAATAATAAACCTATAAGAACAACAACATCCTCTTCTTGTGGAAAACAGACATCATAACAGCAGGAGCAGTATATGGCCGTGCAGTATCCCCTCAGATACAGCTCCAAAGAACCATTCTACCTCTGAAATTTCAAAACTCTGTACCTCTCCTTATTCCTAATGAATCTAACAATGACCCTTACATAAGATAAGTAGTCTATCACTCCTCTCCTCATTTCAGCCTGTCAGTAAAGAATGATGATTTTCCCCTCTCAGCTGCACTCTCAGTACTATTCAGCAATTCTTTTATGCCTGATTGATTGTTACCCTCATTCTCCTGTGGATACCACCCATCCTTCAGCAGACCTAGCCTCTAATCTCAATTCTCTCACTCTAGCAGAAAAGCTTTCCTGCTACTTCCCTGAGAAGATGCTTTCCAATATAAACTTCTAAGCCACCTGAGAGGAGGCAGCAGGCATCCTTACTCCCACCGAACTTACCAACCACCTCTTCTCATAATCCCATCTCAGGATTAATTCCTCAAGGATTTTGCTCTATTACTTTCCCCTTGCATCTTTCAAGTTCCTCCTTGACTTGACCCCTGACTCTTTTCCCTAACTCCCCAAAAGAAGTTAAAAATCTCCTCTATATAAAAGGAAGAAAAAACAGGCAAACTAACAAAACCTCTCCCTTAACTGGCTTCTAAGATACCATCACTCCCCTTTCTTCCTCATTACTTCCCAAATCATTAAAATCTGGCCTCCGCCCTACCCACTCTCTTTGAAACTGCTATTGCCAAGATCACATAAAACCTTGCAACTGCCAAATCTAACTCTGATTCTTTGCTCTATTCTAGAGCAAAGCAGCATTTGTTACCAAAGACCACATCCTCTTCCTCAAAATTCTATCCTCACCTTTTGTGACATTACGTTCTATTTTTCTCACTCTTTCTCAAACCTGTTTTTCTGGTTCTCCTTCCTTCTGTCTTTTAACTCTGAGCATTCTACAAGGCTTTATCCCTGAACATCTTTTTCCTAATTTTTCTTTCCCCTGACAATCTTATATATTTCCACAGCTACAACAATCATCTCTATTTGAAATTCACTGACTTCTAACCTGAACTGCACATACCTAACTATAAGTTAAACAGGAACCACCAGGACCTCCCTAACCAGCATTTCAAATACAAAAGGGCCAGAGTCTGTTCTTCCCAAGAAAATTATTCTTCCGTGATCCTTATCCTGTTTGGTATCATCATATACCTAACCCCCACCACAGTCCTCCAAGTCAGAGAGTTTGGAGTCATCTTTGACCTGTTTCCACATTTCATCAATTAAAAAACCCTATTAATTCCTTGAAATCCTTTTACATCTCTGCCATAGTCCCATCCTTCTTCTGGACTTCCCAAGAAAGCTGATTTCTTTGTAATCAACACTTCCCAGTTTAAACAATGGTGATAGATTAGCGATTAATCTCACTTCCATCGGTCAAGAATCTTACTCCCTCTTTAAAGCCCAGTCCCAATGCTATCATATATGAAGGCATTTGTAACATACATCCCTGTTGACATAAATCACTCTTTCTTCTATAAGTTCATAAAACTTTGCTGGTATCTTTCCTAAGGCACTGCTTTTTATTAGTTATGTGGGTACGTCTTTCTCTCAGACTAGATTATAAACTCCTTGACCACAGGTATATCTTAATCCTATCTGTAATTCCACAGTACTTGACACCGCACTTTGCATGTAGATACTTACATTTGTATATAGCAATGTGCTAAACAAATCAAAGTTGTAATAATAAGCCACTTGAAGTTATCACAGGCTAACAATCTCTTTCCCAAAGTAACTGGCTAAACTTTACTGAATGATTATAACCCAG